CTTTCCTTTTTTTTGCCTTTTTTCCCCGAAGCGCCCCATTTTCCAGTGAATTATCTGAGCTACCTGTTTCTTGTCATTTTAGATTGACACCGTACGAGTGGTACAGCCCCCACCCCTGCTCACAAGGCAGATGCAATCTTCTCGTGAATCAGTACTCCCTCGGCAACAGCTTGTGGTTTCCAGTCGGGGGATTTATGCAGCAAGGCTCCACCATCGCCCCCCAAGCGTTATCCACACGCTGTGTCAGCGGAGTCTGGTAAGGAGGTCAGCCCTCCTCCTAAGGAAGGCTTCTCTGTTGGTCTTTTTTGGGCAAAAGCAGAGGGAGAGGCAGAGGGTGGGGATGGAGATCAAATTCAGTTCACGGGGAAATCTCATGTCACCGTCTTCCCTTTCGCTAGGTGGGCATTCACCTTGATCATCATCTCTTCCTACACGGCCAACCTGGCAGCCTTCCTCACCGTGCAGCGGATGGACGTCCCCATTGAATCCGTAGATGACCTGGCTGACCAGACAGCCATTGAGTACGGCACCATTCATGGCGGCTCCAGCATGACCTTCTTCCAAGTAAACCCCATTCTTTGGCTAACCGGGGCAGGGGGTGCGGAGGGCACCCTTTAATCAGGTTTGGTTGTCACCCCAGCCTGTCATGCCTGTTTTCTTCTGGTTTCTGGCACGGAGGGGACCTGTGGGGAGACCCCTGGCTGCTTGGTTGCACAGGGCTGGGCTAGATCCACAGCAGGCGTTGATGGGATGAACGGTGGGGGAGGCATGGCGGAGGACGGGGAAGGCAGGATTTTGTAACACAGCAGCTGGCATGCTCTTGGAATGCTGGAGTTGTAGGGTCAGGATGTCTGCGCTGGACCCTGGAGCAGCAGACTTTCCTGCTTGGACTTAGAAAGCAACATAACACTTGGGGTGTCATCAGGGGGGTGGCAAAGTGGCACACATCCCTGTGTCACAGGGAAGACATAGCACGGTCTTCACCAGGTGAGCATTTGCTGTCAAATTTCTGTGGGTTTCTATGTGGTTTTGATGTGATCTTACCTTTTACATGGGAGTCTCAGGTAGGGTGAGCAAAGAAACGTTTGCAAGCCCCAGGTAGGCTAGCATATGCCAGAGTGCTGGAGTCTGTGTGCGGTCAGTGGCACTGAAAACAAGTCAAGTCTATGCACACTTACGTGTGCCGTTTAGCCCTATTTATTTTTTATATTCCCTGCTCTATTCAGAAGGGAAATAAGTGCGTGAATCTTTTTGGCAGTGCTCTGAATGCACAAAGAACCGCTTGAGTATTACTTATTTATTACTTGTTGAAATTCTGAAAGCTTTCCTTACTTCCCACCCCCCCCCGCACCCTCCCCAAATCTGAACTGAATTGAGAAGCCTGAGAAATCTCTCGGGTGAGCCTGAGCTTTTCAGCCCAACTTTACACCCTTCAGGGGTTTGGCAAAAAGCTACTTTTAAGCAGAACGTTACATCTAAAATGAGCTGAACAGAGCCCAAGTGACTAAGGTGGTTGTATACGAGGCACTCACTTAGTTCTTTCCAGGAAGGCTTTCAAGTTTAAAATCCTGACTGCGGCTCTGCGCTGCCTCGTGGGTGCTGGAGTCGCTGATATCAGAGAAGAAATTAGCAAAAGATGCTCTTGTACTATTTGCAACGCTTTAAATGACGTTGGGATCCATTCGCCTCTGGTGTAACAGCGGTGGTTCAAACGCAGCGGTGGATGAAGCAGGCTGAGGCTGTCTTCACCACCCCTCAGCTCCTGGTTGCACAAGAGATGTGTCTGCTGCCCTGTAACCTGTCCTGGCAGCCGTCTCCCCTGACGCTAACGTGCAGGATTAAGGTTTAAAGGTGCAGTGAATGGGGAACAAACACACACCCTGTTTGTCACTTGCCCAAGTGGCTGTACCCGGAGGACAGAGCTGGACAGATGAGGACAGTAACTGGGTCAGCAGCAGTTCCCTGAGGCTCTCCAGCATCGCTTGCCAGCCATGGAAAATGAGCCCTTGAAAGTGCGATGGCAGGGGGTGCCTGGCAGCACCCCCAGTGCCCCTTGCCTTGGTCAGGAGGGAAGATGGTGTAAGGGATTCTGTCTGCTGCAGAAATGGACATGTGAGGGAAAAGGGGCAAATTCAGAAACGCCTGATGTAGACCAGAGTGTGTTTATCACAGGATCACTAAGTTTGGAAAAGACCTATAAGATCATCTAGTCCAGCCATCAGCCCAACACTGCCATACCCACTAGGCCATGTCCTCAAGCACCACATCTACGTATTATCTTCAGCCTTTGTGTGAGCAGGTTTCACAGGGAAGAGAGATTAACCGTAGTCAGCTTTTCCCTCAATCAAACCAAGGTGGGCTCAACCAGCAGCAAAGTCTGAGGATTTGGGGCTGGTTGAGCTTTAGTTTGCTGTAGTCAGTGAAAAGACTCCAGTTCTCTCAGGCAGGTATTCTGATTTGCCTTACAGGGGGGTGAACCAAAGTCTGGATTCAGTGAGCAACAAACTCCAAAGAGCTTTGGCTCTGCCCCCAGCACTCAGTGCCCTTCGCAGGGTGATGGTGTCAGGCTCTGACACTGGGGAACTGTTAAGCCCAAGGTTACAGTGACAGACGGTAGGGTGTGAACTGTACAGAGAGCGTTTGGTGGTTTAAATCGGCCACACATGAGCTATTTCTTCTGGCTTTTTTTGTGTGTTTTTGATAAACTGTTACGGAAACTATGTATTTCTCTCAAATTGAACTTATGCAAAGAGCTTTGCTGGAACCTATTGGAATTAGGTATGCATTTCATGCCCAGCTTTGCCAACAAAGTCTCAAATCCACCAAGATTTTTGGGCCTCAAAATCTTATTGGAATCAATGGAGGTTAGGCATCTAAATCCTTTTTAAATCTGGCACCAAATCTGCTTCAACTCCTTTCCCCATTGTGGCCTTTTCATAGCGGTGCCTAATTTGGGGTTTATGTTACAGCAAGATGCTCCCACCTTAGCTCCTCCTGCCTCCTTTCTCCTGCAGAACTCCCGCTACCAGACGTACCAGCGGATGTGGAACTACATGTACTCCAAGCAGCCAAGCGTCTTCGTGAAGAGCACGGAGGAAGGGATCGCGCGCGTGCTGAACTCCAATTACGCCTTCCTGCTGGAGTCCACCATGAACGAGTATTATCGTCAGCGCAATTGCAACCTCACGCAGGTCGGGGGCCTTCTGGACACCAAGGGCTACGGGATTGGCATGCCCGTCGGTAGGCAGTGAAGAAAAATTCTAGTCCTTCTCAGCTGTCGGCAGAGGACCGGAGCATTTGAAAGGCTGAACCGGCTCTAAAGCCAACGTCACGTTTCACAGCTCTGCCCAGAGTCATTTTTTACCTCTGGAGGAAAATCAAATGCATTGCGAGTGCCCAAGGTGCACACTGAGAGCCAGATGAAGGAGACCCTGCTCTGGTCCAGAGCCGTGGGACACGTGACTGCAGCTCTTTAAATAATTCATGTGAAAGATGTTTCAAAATTGCTGCTTGCTTTCTGCATATATGCTCTTTGCTGACTGTTTCCCTTTTGAACCAGTGTTTTTGGATCGTTTTGTGCTCCTTGTTTTATCTCAGAAGCGCTGTAAAAATCATGCTGTTCCAACGCTTGTAGTTTTATCACAAGTTTCTTAACAGCTGGTGGTTCTTAAAACTCCAGGACAGAGAATTGGGCAATGCAGTGACTATCTCAGCTAATAACCACTTCTAACAAACGCAGGGGTTTTGTCTTTCAAATATGAGAGCTAGCAAGAGAACACCGTCTCCCAGGACAGCACCAAGAAAGGATGTAGTAGTTGTTATTCCAAGCAATCGGCTGATCTTTCGGCCAGTCTCACAGGCTTCTTCCTGACCTTTAAGTCCCGGCACTTAGCAATACAAAGTTAAGCTGAATTACATAAGAACCATCACACAAACACTCACTATGGTTTAGCTAACATGCGTAAGCTTGTAAAGTCACAGTAACCTGAGCGTGAGTACAAATCCTTACTTTCAGGACTAAATTTGTTCTGACATTGTCTTGTTAAACAGTGAAACCGTAGCAGATAAGAAGAGCAGAAAGCTGCTCGCTGGGACAATAGAGTTACCAGGAGAGCTGCGGTGTTTCCCACGGCCCTTCTCCTGGATCTCTGCTAGCAGACATCGTGAAGGCAGCAGCAGAGCTCGGTGCCGAGTGCGGGAGCGAGCCTCCTCACCATGAACATTTGGGCTCACTTGTATGTTGAACTTGCTGTTGCAGTGCACCCGTTTGAGGGAAGGAGTGTTAGGGCAAGGTTGAGGCAGAATGACCGGAGAGGGACCTCAGCGGGCCTCAGAGGAGCAGAGGTGTGATACTGAACTGCCTGTTCAGACCCTGCCCCTGCAGCCCAAGCTTCCCCTCGTAATGGACCTCTTTAAATGGCCTGTGTGGGTCTTGGGGGACAGGCCCAATTACCACCTGCCAATTACATTAACCAGTTCCAGCAGGGAGGCTGCAGGTTTCAAGGGTTTACGTGGACTGAAGTCCCTTCCAAACCATTCACAGACGAGGTTTTGTAGTTGGGCTTCATGGCGGGGAGGAAGGCTGGTTGAGACGGTGCCTTACCACCTACCTCTTGGTGTTGCAGGCTCAGTGTTTCGCGATGAGTTCGACCTGGCCATTCTCCAGTTGCAAGAGAACAACCGCCTGGAAATCCTGAAGCGGAAGTGGTGGGAAGGAGGCAAGTGCCCCAAAGAGGAGGACCACAGAGCCAAAGGTAAGCTGCCGTCACTCTCCCGGTGGCGTGCTGAAGGGACCAGCCAGTAGAAGCATCCTTGCCCACGGTGCAAGGATGAATGTCCATCTGCACGTGAGCGCTGCCAGGTTTTCTGCCTGAGAATTACTTTGTCCCCTTCTTCTGACCTGAGATTCCTTCCTTCACAATTCAAGGAGAGAAGCCAAACAGCTCTGCTGTGCCTCATGCTGTGTGTTTTTGCCTGGGGCACAGAGAGCAGGAACAACCAAATGACAAATATTGGAGGCATATGGAGGGTAAATTAGCTTCTAATGAATGTCTGCAGCAGTACATGGGAAAATGGATGGCTGAAGGGATCAGACCCAAATCCAGGGTTCCTTCAAGGGAGCTGGATCTCCACCACAGGCCTGCTGGTTAATGGCTCCAAGTAAAAGCGTCGTTTAAACAGCCAGGGGAAGGGACGCAAGGACTTTATTAGTACATCTGTAAACTGAGGAGCAAATTCTTTTGGGTAATGCTATGCAAATTACCATAAGAGCTACCACATTAGGCTGATGTCCCAGCGTGAGAGCAGTTGCCAGCTTAACGCAGTTGCTGCATTTTTTAGGTTTGGCAGTCGCCCTTTCCTCGGCAAGTGTTTTCTGTGAGGCCAGCGGGTCCCCCAGTTGCAAGGACAGTCTTCTGACCTTTCTGAAGGTGGAGAGCCAAGCTGGGTCCGCGGCAGCTCTTTAGTTTCCTTGACGTTGCAGCAGGCGTAGGCGTGTGCGTCTGTGCGATTGGTGGGCTAGGCTGGGTGAGACCCCACAGGGACTGTGAGCGGTGCTCGCTCTTGGGTATCTCTGGCTGTTAGTCTGGAGACAGAGGGTGTTGGCTGGGTGTAAGACATCAGGCCTCAGAGAAGGGCGATAAGCTATTAAAAAAGTCCCTTTTGAAGGTGACATGGGAGTCTTTTCCCCCATGGACTGTGCAAAAAACACCTCTGAAGTAGAATCTAGTCTGTGGGCTGTTTTGAGATGGCTTGGGAAAGGCACAGATGGGAAGCAGGCTCCTGGGCTGTTTCTGGCACTACCCAGCATGTTCTGTGACCCTGGACAAGTTTTTCTGCTGTTCTGTGCCTTCGGTCATGGTTCACTTCCTCAGTTTGGGAAATGAGGAAGACTGTAGCCTGTTGATACATAAATGTGGAGGAAGGAAATACCTCTCAGCTGAGCTTGGGAATGGGCATCTGAGGTTTCACGCAGGTGGAATGACAGAAGGATGTAGAGAGACTGGTACTGCCCTAAATTTAAATTTGGGAGCTGCTGGGAGGAGAGGATGGCCTCTATCTTGGGTCTAAACTGTGATTATGAGCTGTGTTTTCTGCCATGGAATTGCTGTCTTAGTGGAAACATTTCTCTGCAAAGGGCTGATTTACAGAGTCACTAGATTGCTACGGAGGCAGTGCCAAAAGGATGACGGAGGAGGAGGGAGAAATGTGGCCTCCTAAGTTTTAGAACAAAACAGGTCAGCAATTTACAAGGATTTTGGTGAGATTTTATGTCTAAAAGCCACACAAAGATTAAGTCAATAAATCATTGATTCATACACTTTGATTTAATGTTACAGAAGGGAGAGGAAGATTTTTATAGATGTTCTTGTTGATTAATGGCCTCATACAGTCACCTCGGTGCAAAGCACTACATGCTTTTTAGTAATCAATCCAATCAGGGGCCCAGTGCACTTGAGACCCAAACCCAACAAGAACCATTCCTCAGACAGCATGTGCTGAGGCCGGCACTGCTCCCTGGCTCCTCCTGAGGTCCTGTTCTGGAGAGCCATGTGGAGGCACAGGCTGCAGTTTTGGGGACAGGCATCGCAGTGGGAAGGGAGGTGATGGCCTTGGCACATGGAATGCTCAGGCCAAGTTCTTGAGGGAAGGATTTTTCTTCCAACCTGTGAACTTTCTAGGGGGAAAACTGTGTAGGACAGGGCTCTGTGCTGGGTTTAGTCAGGAAAGAGTTAACTCTGTTTACAGTGGCTGGTATGGAGCCGTGTTTCTGGATTTACCCTGAGAAAAGTACTGATAAGGTGTCCTTTTAGCTGGTGCTGGGGAGTTCTTGCACCAAATTCAAGGTCTTTCCCAGGTTCTGATGCTGCAGCTGCGTTCCCAACTCCCTCGCTACAGGCGGTGTGGGGGGACACACTGTTCGAAGGGGTATTTCATTCCATAGCACGTCATGCTCGGTATATAAGCCGGGAGTGGGCTCGGGGGCCATCGTTCTCTTTTGCTCCTTCACTAACTCCTTTGTTAGCTGCTTTGTGAATTCCTTCACTGGCCCGTTTTGGCAGCTGCCGTGCGTGGGAGGTAGTCCCTCCCCTGAGTGAAGCTGCCTGCATGTGTGGCACTTGGCCCAGGGTGGCTGCATGGCTCCTACGCTCAGTAGAGATGGCAGTCATCCCGCTGTAAGCACTGTGTCCCAGCGAAGTGAGATGAGTCGTTCCATGGAAGGGGCTGGTTCCTCCTCATGGGCCAGAGCGCACCCAACCCATAACCAGGTAGCCCTGGGTGGCAGGGACCCCGCTCGGTCACTGTATAGTGTCAGACGGCGTTGCGGGGTGGCAGGGACCCCGCTCGGTCACAGTGTCAGACGGCGTTGGATCCTGGTCTTGTTTGCAACCTCTCCTTGCTACTGCAATACAAGCAGCTGGAGTCATTTTTCACCAGCACTTTGTAATGCAATCAAGGAGCTTTTCTTGGTGCCAGCATCCTTTAAAACCCTTTTTTGTCTTCTTCATCTCAGCTTCTTTAACAACACTGCTCATCTGCCTTTGCGGAGTTCAAAGCAACTAGAGCCGGGTGAATAATTTGCAGGGATTAATGTGCTCGATTGATCTCTCATTTTTTCCTCCTGTTTTCAGTTTGTCCACAAATTACTTTGTACTTCCCACCAATGTACTTGCTGTTTATCTGCAAAATCATCATTTCTGAGAACGCGTCTTCGATCGTGCGGTTATTGCAAGTCACTCGGTCTGCCATCTGAGTCATGCGGTTAGCTATTAATAGGACAGTGCTGGCTACGTGGTTTTGGTCCCTGGCTGGGAATATGCAATGCCAACTGAACAGGGAAGAGCTGGGATTTCTGTATAGCAACGCTTGCAGTTTATGCTGTGTTTGCTTCTCCACAGAATTGTCTCTTCTGCTTTATTTTAGGCCTGGGGATGGAGAATATCGGTGGAATCTTCGTGGTTCTCATCTGTGGCTTAATCGTAGCAATTTTTATGGCAATGCTGGAATTTCTGTGGAGCCTTCGGCACTCTGAGCAGTCAGAGGTAGGACCTGAAAGTGTCCTGAGGGGGCAGCGTGTGTTTATTGCTGTCTGCGGGGTGCTCAGCAGCGCAGTGCTCTGGAGCAGGCAAGGCACCCAGGCTGGCATGAGCACTCCTGGTAATGAGCCCTCAAATGCACGAGAAAGCTCGGTGCATCGGGCAGGGTCTACGTGCCTCAACCTCTCATGCAGTCCTACCGAGATCGAGGCTGTAGGGATGCTCCAAGGGCTTTTGAAGGGATCAAGGATGTGTACAACATCCAGGTGCCTTTCCTGAAGTCAGGATCATCTGAGGATTTCTGCCTGCCGTAGGTTTGGGTCTCATGTTGATTTGGGGATCCAGAATACACGAGGGGTTTTGCTAAGAGGTGGAATCTGTTGTGCTAAATCAAGCATGAATAGCCAAGTGTTGGTTTTGAAATCCAGTGGCCAGATTAACGACCGAGTCCGTAACACTTTGGCATCAGAATCCAGGGCAGATGCAGCGCTGCTGGGCTCGCGGCTTACTTAGGTGAGCAGTATGTCTCGGGTCTGCCTTCCAGGTGTCGGTGTGCCAAGAAATGGTGACGGAGCTGCGTAACATCATTCTCTGCAAGGACAGTTTCCACCCTCGTCGGAGACGAGGGGGAATGATACGGACTCGCCCCGTTATCCCGGAGGAACGCCGAGCCCGCAGCACAACCACGCTCAGCAACGGGAAGCTGTGCAGTGGGGGAGAGCCAGATCCCCTGACACAAAGACTGGCACAAGAAGCCGCCCTGGTCGCCCGAGGGTGCACACACATCCGGGTGTGCCCCGAGTGCCGCAGGTTTCAGGGCCTCCGAAGCCACAGGCTCGCCCGCACAGAGCGAAGAGAGCTTGGAGTGGGAGAAGCCCACCAACAGCAGCGAGCCCGAGTAACGCCGGGGGAGGGGGCATCGGGGTGGGCCGAGAGGGTCCTGTTCCATTTTACAGAACATGGACTTGTACAATGTCAACTCGTTTTTAAATTAAAAGCAGTTACCCAGCTTCTCCAGAGCAAGGCGGACCTTTGGGCTGACGCGCAGGCCTGGCCGGAGGGACGGCTTTGGTTTCGGCGTCCGAGAGGACCCGCGTCGCGCCGAGGCCTGACGCAGCAGGAGCGAGCTCCTCTGGCTGGCCTTC